AGCAGATCTAGAGGGGCGAGGCCAGTATGCTGTTGTCCCCGTCTGCCTCCAAGCACAGGTTAGGGTTAGGGCTAGGGCTCTGCTGGCCTTGCCCCCTTCCCCTCTGGCTCCTCAGTCCCCACTGTCATGGCAGCATTCCACTGTCTGACTGTGTCTGTGTAGGGCACTCTGACTGGCTGCTAAGACAGCCAATCAGAGTGCGAATAAAGCGTTGCAGACAGACAGACTTAGGCTTTTATAATATTCTAACCAGCTCTGGCCTTGGCTCCCCCACCCTGCTCCCCGCAAGAAGCAGAACACGGGCAGCATGAGGCATTAGGTGGGGGCATGCCATCCCAGCCCTACCCCCCACCTGTCATTCTTGACAGGCAATTGGCTAGTTAGAATAAAAGCCTTACTCTGTCTGTCTGTTCCTAATGCTTCATTTGCACTCTGACTGGTTGTCTTGGCAGCCAATCACAATGTTGACTGAAACAACCAGAGTGCTCTGCATAGACAGGTGCACATCGTGGAGCACCATCCTAACAGTGGAGACTGAAGGGCCGGAGCACCGCTGGCCTTGCCCCCGTCCCGCCCCAGCCCTGCTCTTTGGAGGCAAAGAAGGATGATGGGGACAGACTGGGATGGCAGAGTGCTGCTATGACAGAAGGGATGGAGTGGGGGGAGAGGCCAGCACAACTGTCCTCATTCCCTGTCCCCCCCAAACTTCTTGGTGGCGGTGTGGGGTGCCAGCAGCACAGTGCTGGCCTCATGTCCCCCCTACATGCTTCCCCCCGCCCCCCCCCAGCACACAGGGCTGGACGCAGGAGCACGCATGAGGCTGGAGGTGGTGCAATGGCACAATGAAGTGCAACCAAGACGGAGGGGACAGAGCATGGGGATGAGGCCAGCAGTGCTGGTCTGCCCCTCCCCACCCCAGCCCTGCTTCTTGGAGATGGCAACAAAGCACTGCTCCGCCCCACCCCTAGCTCTGGCTCCGCCACGGAGCCCCGATAAAAGCTTGCAGGAAGAGGGAGATGGGGGGGAGAAAGGAAAGGGGAGGGCAGGGCACAGTGGCGGTGCCCTGCCGCCGCTGGACCCTGAGAACAACTGGGAGGGAGGGAGGGGGTTGTACATGGCCAGACATGCAGCGGTAAGTGTGAGGCACTGGGGGAGGGGAGGGCAGGCAAGCAGGGCACACACGGGGCTGGAAGCAGAATTGGGGGGGGGGCTGGAAGCAGAATGGTGGCAGTGCTGGGGGTGCGTGGTGGCACTCCATCCCCACCTACCCCTCCTCCCCCGTCATTCTTGATTGGCAATTACCTAGTATCTATATATGAGAGAGAGAGAGAGAGAGAGCACAAACTTTTGTGAACCCAGGTTCACTTCATCAGGCACTATGAAAGCATTTCAGTCAGGGTGCTACAGGGAGTGAGAGAAGATAAGCAGATAAAGGCAGGCTCCCCCTACCTGGCTGCTCCCCTACCCCAACAGCTTGGCCCATGGGGAGATTCAAGGAGGGTGCTGTGGTGCACTTGCCACTTTGATTCCAGCTCCACTCAAAGTTTAAAACCAATTGCCTGGCAGCAGGATTTCTAGTCAGGCAGGTGGGATACAGTCAGGGAAGGGGAGAAGGTTCACAGAAGGGCAACAAGGATGATTAGTGGCATGGCAGGGCTTCCACATGAGGAAAAAATTAAGGAGGCTAGGCTTATTCAGTTTAGAAAAGAGATGCTTGAGGGGGGACATAAGGGTTTACAAAATACTAAATGGTAAAGAGAAAATAAATAGGGATTTATTATTTACTCTCCCACACAATACAAGAACTAGGGGTTACAAAATTAAACTAGTAGGTAGTTAAGTTTAAAACTAGCAAAAGGAAGTTATTTTTCACACAACGTGTCACTAAAGTATGAATGTCATTGCCACCGGATGCTGTAGAAGCTGACGGCTTAGCCAGATACAAAAAGGGACTGGACAACTTCTTGGAGGAAAGCGGCATCAGTAGCTGTTGAGCACAGGTGCGAGGGATACAGCCTCTGAATTAGGACTTCCTAGACCTTGAATGCTAGAAACTACAAGCAAGAGAGAAACAGTGGAAAAAAACCCTGGTTATATCCAGCTCCCTCTCCCTTTCAGCATCCACTCTCTGCCACTGTGCAGCATGGGGTTTTTGTGTCATGGACATTTCTGAGTCTAGGTTTGAATCCAAACAGATTTCACTTGCCCTTGGCTTTGTGGCTTTCAGTTTTCTTAGCAATGCCTGGATGCTGGGCAGACCCCACACTGGACAATGGTGAGTCCCCCCACAATACCTTGTTAAGCTCTTCATCATTGCAGATGGCCAGCTGGAAGTGGCAGGGACGATGCAAGTTTTCTTGTTGTTGTAGGCAGCATTTCCAGCTAATTCAGGATTTCAGTCATCAGGCACTCCATCACTGTAGCCAAACAGACTGGTGCCTGAGTTCCCACTCGCTCAGCATAATTGCCCTTGCAAAGCAGACAGGGCACCTGGCCTACAGGGAACAGGAACTGTAGCCCTGCCTGAGAAGACCTAGACTTGGCCTTAGTCTGGACCTTCCCTCCCTGCTTCCCACAGCTGGACATGACTTTTGCTCTTAGAGAACCACAGAGAAGTCAGGCTAGGAGGGACTTCCACAGGTCATCTAGTCCAAGCCCTCTGCCTGAGGCAGGATTATTCTCATCTAAACCATCTCATACAAGCCATAATCTAAACTCTACATAAAATGACTGTCAACCCTGATGCAAAACCAACCTAGCACCTTATCCTACCATGGGCACAGAAGGGGAACCAGGGAAGCCCATACCCCGCTTCTGTGAAATGTTGATACTGGGCCTTTTAATGAGCCATTCTGGATGGTCGTTGGTGGACAAAGCCCACCAAGTCGAGCTATAATCTCCCCTTGGTGATGGGGGCCATGCAGGGAACACCCCTGATGACTTGGGGCAAGTAATTACTTAGGGTATCAATGATTACAGGAATGGCAGCAAGGGCACAGTGCACTCAGGGGGGCACCAAGCACAGCACATTGGCCACTGGCCCACGGAGTCCAAGGAGCCAGCAGACACTGACCAGAGATGGTACAGCACCAGGGTCAGGAAACAGCTCCCATCTTCCCACTGGGATGCCAGGATGTTGCACCAGGCACCTGATCCAGGAAACCTGAGCCTGCCCTGATCCCCTCAGGCTTTCTTTGTCTCCTTACACTGAGCGAGGCCCTTTTGCAGCCTCCAAGGTGGTGAGCCCGGGCTGGCAGACAACTCACCTGGATGTAGTTCATGAGCTGGCGCACGTAGCGGTCGCGATCGGCGGGCACGTCGCAGTGGGACTGCAGGTAGAGCACAGGCCCATAGCCGCGCCGGCGCCAGCTCTCCTTGTCGGACAGAGGCAGCGGCTCGCGGCGCAGGTAGGCCAGGCCCGGCAGCCACTGCAGCGTGAGCGGGTAATGCGACTCGCGCCGGAACGTGGCTGTGTAGTTGAAGAGGCGGATGCCCGGCGCGTGCGACAGCACGTAGTTGTTCATGGGCGACTCCTCGTGGAACAGCGCCCAGGCCTGGTGCGGCAGGCGCGGCAGCGGCGCCTCGTACGCGCGGAAGTCGGTGCCGTAAAAGAGCAGCGCCCGCGTGCGCCGCTGCCGCCACACCTGGCGCCGCCGCGTGGTCAGGCACGAGCCGCGCGCGCAGTCCACGCGCGCCGTGTCGGTGGGGAAGTGCGGGAAGAGGCCGCCGCTCCACCACAGCACGATGGGAAGCGCCCGGTTCGCGCGTGTGTCATTGTTACCCGGGCCCCGGTACGCGGGCGCCACCACCGCCCCCAGCGCCGCCCCCACTCCCGCCGCCCACGGCTCCGGCCACACCGCCTCGGCCTCGTCCCCAGCCCCCGCCCACTCCGAGTCCTCCGCCGCAGCCAGCGCCAGCGCGAGGAGGCAGAGTGGCCAGGCCCCACCCATAGCTCCAGCGGCCCCGCGGAGAGCGGTAGCGGAAAGATAGCGCGCCACCGACCCCGCCACAGCCTCTGTGCCTGCGCTAGAGACCCTAGCCCCGCCCCTCAGTGCCTTGCGCAGGCGCGGACGCTCTCCCCCGCTTGGCGTGGCGGGATCCCTGGGCTTCAGGCTCCGAGCTGCTCGAGTGGGACTGCGCATGCGCGGCATCACAGCACTCCTCCAGCCAGTAGAGGCCGGGGCAGGAGCGGCGGCCGGTGCAGCCAGCGGAGAGAGCAGCGGCTGCAGGGAGGGGGTGGTGCTGCAGCCGGGGGAACCGCTGTCCCGGCCCCTCCGGCCACACTTGGGGGCAACTAGAAATGCCGGGGGCTCCTGCTCTTGGGTCCGGCGGGCCTGGAGGGAGGAGAACAGCAGAATTAGGGCAAGAATCCTCCTCCCCCCGCACCTCAAGAGGGAGGCAATACAATACAAAACAACGGGTTAGACCTGTGCACCGGAAGACAAGCACGATCTGAGCTGGAATGCAAGAATAGGATCGGAAGGAAAGCATAGGAAGGCAACTCTATGTCTGAGGTTTGAGCTTCCCTGCCCTTGCCTTAAAGGCAGCTAGACAAGTTCACCAGAAGCTGTAGTATGCAAACGTTGAATTAAAACTTTAGAAGGCAGAAAGTCTCATCCACAAATAATTGAAAAGGGTAAGAAGCCTTTCTTTGGGGCACTGCTAGAAACAGGATACAGAAGTCCACCAGAGGAAGCTCAGGAGAGGCCTTTCCTTTCTGTGAACCCATCCCCCATTCCTAGGCAACTCCCATAAGCAGTGAAAGGTGCAGATACCCTAAAACTCCTCCAGAACAACTTACTCCACTCACTTAAGGGACAAGTTGCACAAAGCCCATCATTTAGCTCAACATGGTATTTGATTTTGGACAGAACATAGGAACATGCCTTCCATTTCACATTATAACCTCCCTGTAAAATACACTAAGACAAATTAAATATCCTTATTGGGTATTTTCAAACCAAATTGCAACATCTGAAAAGGTAGGTACTGTTGCCAGAAAGTTTAATCTGAATTTTATTTTTGCACTCTAGACACCCCCCCCCACCACTTCCCCTTCATGCTCAGCAGCATGTCCCCTCCCCTCCCATTCTCCATCTCCCGGATCTGTTGCTGCTGATGTCGCTGACTGCCCTGGAGGTGGGGAGAGCTCCAGAGTCACTCCAGTCCCACTCCAGGTGGGCTGCCTAGCAAACCAGGTTCAACACAGAATAGCAGCAGCAGTAGCAGTGGGCAGATTCATCCTCCCTGCCTGACCCCCCAACCCCAACTA